GTAGAGACTCTGCCTTTGGTTCTGGTCTAGGCTCCTGGTTTGACACTTTAGGTCTTGATAATGCCCATTGCATTGCCCATATAGCCAATGGGCGCATGTAACACAAGGATCGGTACTGGTCGTTTGTGTTCCAACCTTCCGGAGTTTGAAATGAATAGCTGTTAATGGCAATGTGTTATTTATTAGTAAGCATTCTGCTCAGTGAAGGCATTCAGTTTTCCAGGACCATGCATGAAATCATATCAATTGTACAAGGAAGGACAGGTAAAAGCCTTCTTACCCAAGTCCTCCTTCCGACCATGCAGCTTCAAAGATTCCACCAGCCGTATTGAAAGCCATATCCACCATATCTTCATGGATCATCGCGGCAGCCACTGCGTATGTGACTCCAGACCATATTTCTCTCGACTGCATTGATGACATATCAACTTCTCCATTGGGTAACATACCGTTTACAGCCCCTCGCTTACCTTCTTTCACCTTCAAGACATTATAGTTGTAAACCGTCTCTAGTGCAGTCCTTGCTTTATCCTTATCAACAATTGGCAAAAGGCCACATGCCCGTGCATACCTACAATGTTACGAATTATGAAATGACATTTTAGAAAGAAAGAAAAGGTGAACATGAAAAAAAAAATGGAAAAACTAACATATATCAGAAGATACCATTGTCCAGCCAATTGATCAGCTTGAATAGATGAACTATTGGCACCACTGCTGTTGTCATAATTGAAGTAAGAACCGTTCCACAATTTTTCATATACAGCTTTTGCCTTTTGAAACTTGCACCAAAAGTAATCCTCTGAGCCCTTATCACCTACTTCATGTGCCAAGGCTGATGCAGCCTGCAGGGCTGCAACCCATAGCCCACCACAATAGGCACTGACACCAGACACAGACCATGTATCGTATGTCTGATCAGGAAATCCATCATTCTCAATCATTCCATCACCATCTCTATCAAATTGATCCATATATGCCATTGCAACATAAACTGAGGGCCAAACAGCTTCTGCATACTTCTTGTCACCAGTGGCAACCACATCTCTATAAACTTGGAGAACAAATTTTGGATTCAAGTCTTTCCACCGATCTGTGCTATAAAGGCCATAGGAATTTACTTCAAACCACGGATCATTGAGTCCAATATCATGAGGAACAGCTCCAAGAACCTTTCTCGGGACCCACTGTCCATCATGTAAAAGCTTCCTTTTAGTAGGATCATGCATCATTACGGAAGCTGCAAAGTCTCGCTGAATGCTAAGTTGAAGTTTTGGAAATAACATTATTAACGCAAAAGATGCATAGAAATGGACGTCGTACGTGTTCCACATGGGGTATTCAATTCCTTCAAGATAAAGAAATTGACCGACGTTTTCTTCTCCTTCCTGAAGCAGATTTGTTCCAAAAGCAGAATTTGATGCAATTGGAGTGTGTATTTGCTCAAGTACTGAAGTCATCCTGCCCAGAATGTCAACAGCAGTATCATTGCTTTGGGATGACTCAATAATACTTTTCAATCCTGATTGCGATCTATCAAGGGAAAACTTCCTTCCTCCAATGCTGGCTAAACTTTGGACTGGAGGCAATCCATCTATCAAAAAAATAAAAACAAAAACATCTAGATTAAGTACCATACTCGTTCGTGTGAATAAGACTGGTTAAATAAGCAGTAAAGTCTAGACACCTGTCCAAACTGTTCCTCCCGAGTTAAGATAGTAGAGCTCATTAAACAAAGTGATTGGATACCTGCTTGGAAGAATCAGAAAAATACAAGCCTTGAAACAAATGCAATATAATTCAGGTTTATTTCATAACACATGCCATACCAAATATGAAGGTAGAGCTTACCATTCAGGAAGCCTCTTGTCTTCAAGTATAGGTCTTTGCCACACTTCAATCTTAGATTCCCATTGACCATGTTCTATTGTTTCAAAAAAAAAAAACAATAATAATAATGAAATATAAAATAAGTACTTAGAGTAGTTGTTCTTAAGAAAGCAATTTACTACATGAATCAGCATGCATGAATAACTAGCCAAATTTAAATTGGATATCTAGAATTGTCATTCAATCTCATCCCCACAGACAAAAAATGGCATCAGTGTAAAAAAAATTACCAAGAATAGCATCATGTGCTATATTTGCTGCAGCACCCCCATTAGTCCCATAGAATTTGGTGTAGCGCCTGTCAATAAATCTTTTTCAGCATATGGATACTCCTTCAATTTACAACATTTCTGGATAACACTTTTGCAACACACCTGTGATAAGTCTTTCCACTTAAGAAGTTCACCTCGGGACAGTCCCATGCCAAAGAAAAAGTAACAGTACGTGTTGCATCAGATGGAACTGACACAGAAGCTGCAATTGCAGCGCCAATTGATGATCCTGGCTCTGAAGGTGCTGATACTTCAGGGTCCGTCAAGTGGTCAAAGGATCCATGCTACAACAAAAAAGTAGAGAGATCATATACGGTTGGGATGGTGATAAAAGCAGTGATCAAAACTTGGTAAGATATTAGTGTGCTTTCCACATAATTTGGAAAACCACACAATGGGTAAAAAACTCTGTAAAATGCATGAGATGTAAACAGGTCAACCAACCTCTTTTATTTCTTGCCACATGTCTTTTGCACTGATGCCTTTTGAGTTCCCATCTATCACAAAACAAGGGCACTCACTTACATGAACACTCTCAGTCTCCTGTGCTGCAATTGCAAAAGTCAGAGTGGGTAGCCCATCTGCAGTCCTGCAACATTGAAATACATAACATAAACTAATTGAGCTGCTCAAAACTGTTCTCTTTTCAGAATCTCTTAACTGAGATCTTACTTGTGATGTAAAAGTACACCATGTACACCATCCTCCATCCTAGCATGATGAAATAATATTCTAGGTTAGTATGAAAATGCTAAAAAAAATCCCAGAGAGACAAGAACAAGCTCCTGAAAGCAAAAGATTCTTACGTTGTTTTTGAATTGGAGTGGTGACCAGAAAAATGAGAAACCCCTCCAATGGAATTCTGAGGAGGATACAGTGTAAGTCCTTGAAAACAAGAAAGAAGCACATACAGAATAAAGACCAAAAGTTCCACCCTAAAAAAAAAGGGGAATAAGTAAAGCAAAAAGAGGAGGAGCCGCATGGGGGGTGGGGAGGGGGGTTCTTACAGCCCAAGTGAAAAGCAAGGTGACATCTGCAGCAGTCTTTCCAGAATTATAGAGCTGAAGGGTATCAAAATGAATTGATCAATGCCCATAATACATTCAATGTGCAATTGAGAAATTTCTAAAGACAATTCCTACTGTGAAAGTAAAAACTGAAACAGGATAGCTGCTCTCCTTGTAATTGTGGGGAATAATAGGTGAAATTTGGCGACAAACAATTCTAAGGTCTGGATCAGATTCACCTGCATTTCAGGACAGAGGTGACAAGCAAATGAGACTGTTTTTTGAAGACAAAGGTCTTGTAGATACAGAAGTTTACCACTTGAAAATGAAAAGAAAAAGTACCCTCATATACAGTCCAGGCCCTTGGGTATAAGGCATGATATGTAGAATTATTCCCCTTCATATTCCAGTCCCAAGATCCAATTCCTGAGGCTGCAATCTCTCTGTTGCACATCATATCCATAACGATTAATCCTTTCTTGTCTGTTCTATTTCTTTTCTATAAAAATTCACTAAAAGACAGAAATGTTCTCAAGCAAAACAAAATAAACTTCATTTATTAGCCATAAAGTAATAGCAAACAAACTATTTGCTTACTTGAGCAACTCTGAGCTTTTTTGGCACAGAACACTGGAATACTTTTCACCATTTGAGCGTGAAACAAAAACCTGCAGTAATTTCAGATTCAAATTTATCAATACTCTGTTTCATTTCCCCTATTTGAAGAATGGCAATGATGACTAAAGTAGCTAAAACAAAAGTTTGTTTTGTCTACCCTGGTTAGTGCCATCAACTTACAGAAAACTGATCTGCTAAAACAGGTTTCTCTTCACATATCATGGGGAAAAGTTGCCAGCGTTGAAATTCACCTCTGAAACTTCTTCCAATGCTTCCTGCACTGAGGGAAGCATTGAAGGATTTATTTAAAAGATGTCAGAAAAACAGATTAAGAAAATATTAGGCATCATCCAAATTTAATTCTGGTGAGTAAATAAGGGCCTACCCAATACCACCCAGAGGAACACCTTGACAAGATGACATATAACGACTAAAGAATGGATTGATGAAGACCCGCTGCAAAAGAAACAAGAAAGAATGTAATGTGGGTAAAAGAATAGGGATTTCAATCACAAGCTGCTCTGTAACATAATTAATACATCAAAAATAGAATAGGCAATTAAGATCAGCAAATTACCCTTCCTTTTTCTGCTTCTTCCCTCACATGCTGCCATAGCCGAATACCTATAGGAGCCTATGCAAACAAAAGCACCATCCTTTGAATGTAAATAACAAGAAAAGATTAAACTTTTGCAACCTTGACATGTCCAAATAATTGAGTTGAAAATCCATAGTTCTCATGCCTTTTCACAACTGACTAATAACAAGTATAATATGAACCCCCAAAATGTATGAAAGTGTCTATATGGTAAAAAGAAAATGTCTTACACAGTTTAAATTCAAAATTTGTAGCACAACATTAATTTTGAATTGTGCTGTCCTATGCTTTATTTACAACTTGTCAAACAATTGGCATGTTGGAAACTCGAGCAAACCAAACTCTCATACGCTCATATCTAACAATGATATGGAAATTTCAACATTCCATTATGTGCATATTAGAAATTTCATTTTGAAGGAATGAAGCTTAAGCTAGTATGTTCCATACAATAGACAACATGAAAAAGTAGAGGATTTTTAACATCTTTGAAAACAGCTGTAAGCCAAAGTTGTAAGACATACCATTTGAAGTTTCTCATTAAACGTTAGGGTAAACAATGAAAGAGCATTTTCCTGAGAATCTAATTTTCGCCACCAAGTCAGCACTGCTGGTTTCCTGGGATCAATCTAGTGCCATCAATACAAAATAAATTAGATTTTTTTGGGGGGAAAAGGCCTTCATGGTGATGAAAGCATCAAGTATGAAAGAAATGCCACTTTAATTCTAACCACTGAAAAATAATAAACAGACACCAAAATCACTTCTCAAATATCAAAGCAATGCTAACATGAAATGCCTCAAAGAGGAATTCATCATCTTGGAGAGCCCTTTGCATAATAAGGACAAAAAAAATTTCATTGGTGCACTTATAACAACCTAATTGTCTTCCTCAGCTAAAGCACATTAAAATTAGCAGCAAATACCAACAGGGTTTCTGACAGTTAGGCATTGCATAACTTAAACCCATCAAATGTGTTGAGAGTAGCCTCACCACTAATTGAAAAGTTCCATTATTCACAAGAACAGGAGACAAACAATAGCTTACCGTATCCATTGAAGAATGGGATGTTTCCCTATTTCCTTCATCAAAACCATTCTCCAGGATCTTTCCTTCAAACATCTTTCCTGAGTTCAACAAATAAGAAATAAATCAGCCCAGTAGCATCTGAACAATTAACTCTTCTTGATTCTAAGAATAGTAAAGAAGCATACAATAAATACAAAAATACAAGAATTATTGTGATTTCAATCCCAAAATTGCATAGTTCCAGATCTAGTTTCCCATATCTCCATCTTTTTAACATCCCAACTAGAAATTATAAATCCTTAAACAGATTGAAATTATAAGTCCTCAAAACCCATAATTTACATACATAGGTAAAGAGCTAAACCAGTAATCCAATTCCAATCACACCATAATGGCCATCCCTCAACAAGATGGCAGCATTTTTTATGGTATTGCTCACGTAGTTTTATACACATGATATGTACATTCTTAAAACTTGATTTCATTAAAATTTTCACTTCCAAATTTGCTTTCCAGCTAATATCATCTGATTCAGCAACAGGATTTAGGTTCCATGGTCCAAAAAGCCACCAAAATAAGTGTAAATTAAAAGCAAGATTTCATGGTCCAAAGAAAGCTAAGTTCCAAACTAAGCTGAATTACTAATTCTGTTCAACCATACACAAATTAAAACAAGTTGCAATTCCTCCGCACTTATATTTACATTAATAAAAACAAAACCGCAAGTATATCAATTACATCAATCTCCTGATCAGCCCAATTTTAGCTCACAGATGACAGAGACACAACATATTCACCCAAGTACAGACAAATGCATACACACACGGATAACCATAAAGCAACAAAATTTGATATCCATCCACAGCCAACTTCGCTGCAAAATCCCCATTGAGAAGAAACATCTAAGGCATAGTAAGTTAACAACAACTCAACGCACACATGCACAAGAACAAAGTCACCAACAAAAAGGTGTCCCATAATCTTGGATCGGACAAAATCATCTGATCATCCCCATGGAGAAAGAAACATCAAAGGCATTACAAGTTAACAACTCAATGCAAACATGCACAAGAACAAAGTGACCAACAAAAAGTTGTCCCATAATCTTGGGATCAGACAAAGCTTCAAAATTGAATGGAAAAACGAAGTGAAAGGGGACTGAAATCTCTAACCTGAGAAGATTCGGACAGAAACTGAAATGGGTTTGCAGAGGCAGATGTCGGAGATGATTTATGAATGGTAGAAGGTTAGAATGACGATCTTAACAAAGACGCGATTTTTTTTGAAGGGTCAAACTCCATTTGTGAATGCCTGGTCTTGCTAGTGATAAAGTTTGAACGAAGACATTTATCTACTATTTGAATTGAATACAAGTCTGATAGGAGAGGATGTCTGATTGCTGTGGATCCCCGGGGTTTTATTATTTTCCTCGGAGATCCTGATTTATTGTAGATTTCTGTATAATGGCCAATATCTTTTTATTTCTTGCCGGATGATGTCATTAATGGGCCAAAAGAAAGAGATGGAAACCAGACCGAATTTTGTCAGCCATGGATTAAATGAGACCATTAAATAAATGAGACCCACACATGATCAACTCACAAAGAATGGAGCTCCATTTGATCTGACTTTTCGTTCACACACTGTCTTCTTTTCCTTTTATAAATATTTTCAACACATTAAAAATTAGTTACTTACCACAACTTCTCGTAAAATTTAGTTAAGATTAAAGTTTTATTATTACATTCTTAGTATCAACTCAACCTTATTAGTCTTATAAATAATCTAATGAATGAATTAAAAAGATTATGAATAAATATTATGGTATTGTTACTGTTGGTATGAGGAAAATATATTATACCGCAAAAAAGAAGAATTGTATGATTGGGTATTTTGCAAATCCAGACCTTAACTTAAAAGTTTCATTTTTGTTAGACTTCACTTAAAAACTTTAATTCCCCAATGGATAAGAAAAGAAACACTCTGGGGAAACTCTTTTCTTAAGATTCAAGGATCAATTTAAAATATTGGCAGTTCCAAACTAGAAGTCAAGGGCATGAATGAAAACAGATGTTCAACAACAGGGGCAAATGTGAAAATAGACCAAGGTAAATAAAAACAAAGCAAACTACCTTTTGCATGCTGGTTTTTTCCGAGTGGCATATTCTTGCGGCCGTTGACTCTGTATACATAGTCACCTCATCAATAATGCACCAAAACAGAAACCATTTAATGCTATTCACTTTTTCTTAGTAACACTTTGGTTGGTATGATACCTAGAAGACACCCAGCCAAAATGATTTTGTGATCTAGTAATAATCTCCTATTGAGTTTGAGGATACCCAAGCCGCATTGGAAGGGAGAAGGAAGCCTCCCCCTCCTAGAAGACTATAAATCTGTAAGTGCAAAATACAAACAATTAGATAGAAAAACCATCTGCCATTATCAGGGGGGCCCAGACGGCAAAACACTTCTGAATTTATAATCCACTTAAAAAAATAATAATAATAATAATAATAAATAAAAAAAAATCAAGATCCCATCCAACGCAGGAACCCAACCATCGATTATAGTCTCAGATCATAACATTGTTCTAGTTTAGCCCATTATGTAGGAACCACATTCACTCAAAACATCATATTCATAAAATAGCTGACCTGACAGTCATCGTAACACATAATAATTCAAACAGCTATCATGAAAATATCATATAGCAAAATATGATTTTACCCCCATCATTACCAGATCCTTTCACCGAAAAAAATAAAAATAAAAAGAAATAAAGAGCACATTCATCCAAAACTATCATGTTCATAAAATGGATTTCTCAAAAGACATCAAAACACGTAACAATGGTCATGACCTCACCATGACAAGTTAAAAGGCCAGCATGAAGTGAGATTAAAATATTGGCGAAGGTTTCATGGAATGCCTCGTCTAATTTGTCTTACACAAGAATTTTTCTGTAGCTTTACTAAAACTCCAAAACCTAAAACATTTTGGAGTGGTTAATGGCCTTTATTTCAAAAATTGCAAGTTTTTGCCCTTTCAAAAAAATAAAACTTTGGCATCCGTGACCAAACTCCTTAAATTTTCTAGGAAATGGCTCAAATAAAGCAAAAAGGATCATGCAGTTGATTCCTTTAGATAAGCAATGAGGTCAGCACGCTCCTGTGGCTTCTTTAGTCCAGGAAAAACCATCTTGGTCCCAGGAATTTACTGCAGATGCAAAAATCAAGAGCAAATCATCAATTGGGAAATAGTTATCAAACCATATAATCACAAGGTTCTAGAAATGAGCTAAAGAGAGAGAATTGTGCCTTCCAAACCCAAATCCAATTCAACTTCAGTACGACATAGGCATTAAACAGAACAAATTGCTCTTTCAAAATCTCAAAACCAAAAGAGGAACCATGCTAATTAAGACATAAAATATCATACATAGATCACCTCTAATACCTTTCTACTTAAAAAGAGTATAATAATAACATGCAGCATTGTAGAACTTACAAACATTAAAGAATTCAAGGAAAAATGCAAAAAATCTACCTTCTTAGGGTTAAGCAAGTAGTCATACAGTGTGTTCTCTCCCCAAATCACAGCCATATTCTTATTAGCAGCAGAGTACGAGTATCCAGGAGTTGTCCCAGACTGTCTCCCAAAAAGTCCATTCAAATTAGGTCCTGTAGATTTCTAAAAAGATGATCTTATCATTCTCTAAAACTGAAATCAAAACACACATGCACATACCAAGAATTCACCACAATGAAAATAGCTGCAGCACTAACAGAGAGGCCATAATAAAATTTCACACAAGTTGCAGAAAGAAACTTCAACAAACAATGAATTCTGCAGCCTGCAGGGTAAAGGACCCCTTTCCACATACATCTAAACTAAATGTCTACAATAAGCAGAACAGAACTTTTTCGAAACCTTCTTTTCCAAATTCGTGCTTCCATAAAAACAATAAGACCACTATTTCAGAAAAGACCAATACATAATGGTCATAACACCATTATACCCGATAGAGTGATCTAATTGCCAATTCAGATTCACAGAAAATAAGTTCTTGGAATAGCTCTAAACCACATAAATGAGACAGGGAAGCTCGTACACTGATTACTTCAGTCCATGAAAATCCATAGATCATCAAAGAAACCCAAAATTTGTCGAAATTCAGAACATGAGTCCAATTTTCAAGACTCGAGTCAACTAAATATCCCATCCACCTATTACACTCATCAAACAAAGAAATTCTAAATCCAAATTGCAGAAATCAGAAAATCTCAAATATCAATGAATACGACAACAATCAGATAAAATCACATCGCGATTCCATCACTCAAAAACGTGAATGAACGAGATACCTTGTTTGTGACCGGCGCCTTTCTCGACGGTGTGGCACTGAGCGCACTTTGTCTTGAAGATCTTCTCTCCGACTTTCGCATCCCCGGGAGGCGCTTGATCAAACGACGCCACTGGCCTCGGATCAGCGGAGTTTTCTCTCGCTAGGGTTCGCTTTCCGGTAATTCCGTTGAAAGGAAAGGGTGCTTTGATCGGGAAGCAACAGTAACAAAGAGCGCGAGGTTTGGTCTTTTGTGTACGTGTACCTAGTCGCCGTTTGGTATAGCGATTTTGAGCAGGTTAGTGATTTTACCTAAATCGTTAAATATAAGTGTTTAGTAAATTTATATATTTCAAAATTGTCACAATTAAAGTATTTGATAAAACTTTTATTTTACGATTTGAGATTAGCGGATAGTGATTATGGTCCAAATCGCTAGCGGATTGAAAAAGCTATTTATGTAGCTTTTTGTACCAAACTATTAACGAATTAAAATTTTTTAATTTTATTGATAAATTTATCTTTTTTAATTTTTTAATTTGTGGTCACATTTTTTAATTAATAATTATCTAATAAATTTTAATTTTGTTTTTTTAACTTTAATAATATTAAGTAATTATAATAATTTTTTTGTATATTAATTTATAATTTAAAAATATATTATCTTAAAAACAAAATTTATTAATTAGACAAAATGATTAATTTTTATTTAAAAATAATATAATTTTTTCTTTTTAAAAAATAAAAATAAGGGTGTAATTATATTATTATAATTAATTTTATTTGTTTATTTTATTATTATTTTTTTTATAAAATTAATAATTTTAATAATAAAAAATAAAAATATTTTAAAAAATATATTTATTTGTTTTTAAACATGTCCTTATTAGTCATTTAATGTTAAACAACAACTGCTAATTATTGTATAACCAAACAGTTATATTTATCGAATCCGCTATTTGCCATCCGCTACCCACTTTTCGCCATCCACTAACCGTCACCCGCTAACCGCCACCCGCCACCCGCTACCACTATCTGCTATCCGCTACCCGTTACCCGTTATCCGTTGAATTTTAACCGTTGTATCAAACAGGCCCGTAGTGCGGGAACTAGTGCCAAAACGGTGCGTCTTGACTAATTCCATTGAAATGACCTTATTATCCTTGCTTCGTTGATTCTGTGACTTCTGTCGCTCTTTTCTGCTGTTTCCCGCTCCAAGTTGTTTGTAAATTGGATCCAGATAGGCCTAGCCCGATTCTATGACAAATGGGCATTGGCTGATTTAGCTGGGCCTTCCTCTGTAATAACTACTAACTCTAGATAGGCCTCTTATGCCCAATTTCATTATTAGATGGGTTTTTCCCCAGACCAAGTTTTGCATACCGTAAAACTAATTGTTCCTTGAGTGATGTTAAGAGTATACTTTTTGCATTAATTTAATATATTCAAAAAAAATTAATTTTTTTTAAGTGCTTATTTCAAAACTTAAATCTTGAACTTGAATTTCATCTACAAAACAAACTTGTTTAGTAGTGATCAAACCCTTGAGATTAGCTTATAGTGTTTGTTAGCCAAAAAGAAAATTCCATCGCTTATTACCAATCATATAAAAGTTATATCATGTGATTCAATCACAAAAAATGCCACTGGCACTTTTTTTTTAAACATTTTTTAGAAGAAAATATGGACAGCATTAGGAAAGGAAAGAATATAATATGCTACTTGATAACACAAAAGTGCTGGAAATGAGCTGGTCCAAACAAGCATAACCTAGAAAGCAGAGGAAGCCGAAGAAGAAAAGGCAATATCAAGCTGTCAGCCGTTACTTCTCGAAGAACAAAGACTAGTTTACCATTCCCATGCATCGTTTTTCAAGCTAGATTGCTGGATACAGTGAGGCGATTCCACTTTTATTGAGGATTCTTTTTCTTTCCTCAATTTATAATCATTTTTCCTTGGATAGTACTAAGAGTGCACATTTTCAGTAAACAATGGATATAGTTAGCTGAAAATGAAAAAGCCATTTTTTCTCTATTCCCTCGCATGTTTGGGTGAGATAAGCCGAGCAGACAGGAACCATTCTGTAAACCCAGATTTGGATTGTAGCAACAAAGCATTCTCATTTCTAATCATCAGAACAATCAAAATCAAGTCCAACTAGAAGATGCTAACGCATCTCGCTGGCAAAAATGCAAAATGATGGCAAGAAGAGTATTATGGTCAGACTTTCAGATTGTAAATTTCACCATGCAAAACTTTCGAATCTAACATTAGAAAACAAACCAAGAATAAAAATCCTTATTTGAAACTAAACTCTTTACAATCAGTTTTCTTTATCACAAAATTGAGATATTCACCACAAGTCAGTTTCTTGCTCCTGTTACTTTTGAGGTCCATGAACTTGAGCAGGAGAGCGCATTGGCCATCCCAAAGGCGGAGGCGATCCTGGTGGGGTTACATCTCGACTAGGAGAGAAGAGACTCAGTTCAACAAATGTCCCAGTTGAGCTCCCGTCTCTTCCATAAGCTCGGAAAGAAATCGATCCTTGCTTCATAGAGGCATCAGAGTTCCTCTCAGGGCTTACCCGAATGCTTTCTTCAAGATGGCTCTGGTTAGCAATAAGAGAAACAGTATCATTGTTTTCATCCACAACCCTTCTCCTAGCCTCCAAGTCATGAGGGTTTCCTAGGGCTAGACAATCTGCTATTGGCAAGTATACAAGCAAGCAAACGCAGACCCCAGCACAGAATACCAAGGCAAGAAATGCTGAGAATGCAAGAACTTCAAATTGAAAATCATCTGACTTGGGTAAAACGGATAAACCAAGTAAAAGAACCCTTAATAGAAGGAAACTTGAAACTGAGAATATCAATGTATAAACTCTCTTCTGCAAACCCTTATTGATAACCAATTTCAAAATCCGCCTTCCAAGCCAAAATAAGTAGACAGTCAAGACTGTGGCAAAAAGGCCAAGAAGGATAGTATTCAGTAAAGGGTAAGTGCAGACCGCAATATCATTAGTCTGATGCATTGCTCTTGTGAAATATGGAGGCAATACATGTACAGAACTATTACCCTTGTTTAGCAGAGGCCCAATCAAAATAACAATGAGTTGAAGGAGAAAAACAGGAACACAGTAGAGAAGAATATAGCCCACAGTCCTCCCATTCCATTTTTCGCTCAGAATTCCATTCTCCATATTCTGTAAGGGTGCACGAAGAAGAAACACTAGTGTGAGGAAGAGGCAAGGTTCTGCAAAACCTAAATTTGAGACAATGTAACATTTGCAGACTGTTTCCTGCCATTGCAAACTGAGGGCATGCAACACTCTTCCCTCTTGTCTCAAAAAACTGAGTCGAACAATTTCGCCAAATCCCCACCAGATTGCAAAAAAAATGAATGTGATCCTGATTATCCAAGGGCCATCAAAATAACTTAGTTGGATAAATTCTTGTCTACGAACTCGAATGCGGAAGTAAAACAAGTAAGCAATGCAGCAGAAACCAAGAAGAACCAACAAAGCCACTAGACAAATTGTTAACAGACCAAATGCATCGGCAAAATTTCTTGTCAGGGGCATTACCCGAATCACAGATTCCACGCATGCTACCCACCAGCATGGATACAAGAAGTCTTCTGATAGAGTATGTGCTTCCAAGGTTTAATACCAGAAGCAATTCCAGGAATAATCCCGACGATGCTAACTACTTAAGATACCCAATCAGCATAATCATCAACAGCAATCAGGTGGCCAACCATCAACCATGTGAAAAATAACTGATCTTCAGTTCAGATTGTCGTTTCTGCACAATAATCTTCGTAATTTATGAATAATCAATAGAAGCTACGATCTATCTCTTATTGTAGAAACAGACAAAATCTTAAAAAAACAAACTACATTCAGCAACACAGCTAATATATCAATACAAAAGAAGCATGTTCTTTCCAGAATCAGCAGTTTTTAGCTATTTCTCAGGAAGTCAGGGCATGTAGGGCAAAAAAATATACGCAGGACGAAGAGATTGGACCTCTAGTTAGTCACATTGAGGCTTGTATTTTATGTACCCTAATTAGAACAAATTAAGAAAAAAAATAGAAGAATGCAAAATCTTTAAATTCCATTTCATTGCCTGTTTGCTTCCATCCACAACAACAAGACATTCAGAAAAAATCACAAATTACAATCTCGGACTAAGAAAAACTTCAAATCTAAGCATTGCAAAAAAAAAAAAAAAATTGATATACACAATTTCAAAATCGTTACATTCATTGCCACCACCGATGCATGCAATGCAATATTAAGCACAAAAAACTCGAAAAAAAATAGCAGAAAATTTCAGAAACAGAAGAATAGCGCCGGAGAGGGAAAGAATCCGATTAACAGCCAAAATCGTATGCAACACTAACGAAAGATAAATTGATTGAGAGCTTACGAAACGCAGAATCTTGAACCAACGAGCTCGAGACACGAATCTGGAAATCGACAGAGCGAGATCGAGAAACCCTAACTAGCGCGAACTGGAACCAGAGAGACAAAAAGGGGAGAGAACGTAGTCAGGGGGAAGGAATAGGTGAGTGGAACTTTGTTGGTGACAGCCTGTCTCCAGCTGTGTCATCCGAGCCTCTAGCTTCGGATCTTGCTGTTGTTCCGAAGCGTAGATTTGCATTTGCGACTT